CATCATATACACTGGGGGTCTATTTATAAATTTTGAGAGTGACACGCAATGTGAATGTAGCTAAAATATGAAACACTCCATCAAATAACATGTTTGATTCCCTTGATCAGGGATTATTCCTTATATTGTAATTAAGTGATTTTAGGCTCGTTGGATTCATCTCATCTAGATGCTCAATTTGACTATAAGCACGCAAAATGCAAAGCTAATTTAATTCTCCAATAAATGTCCCAAAGTTTTCAACTATATTCTAAGTGCTTCATATGGGCTCGGATCAAATCACTTTTGGTATTGTTAGGTTTGTCTAATCGAAATGATCAATTTGACTACAAGTTTGTTAAAATCGAAGCAAATAGTCCTGAATATAATTGTAGATATTTTTATTTAAATATGCATCAAGCTTTATGGCCAATTAAATCAATTTTTGATATATATATATTCAACTGATTTTTTCCTAAAACCAAGCTAATGCCAAATTCAACAAGTTAATCTTCACTCAAATTGGGATTTTATCAAATTAGCCCATTACAAAAGACTAGCCTTAGTTCAATCATGATTATATTGAATGGTTGAGCCACTCTTGAACTATAGTTGATTAATAAGGGCATATTGCTAACTTTTGTACAAACAACACATGTAATGGAACTTCTAGTAATAGTGGCCTTATTCGCTAGCTATTTCTCAAAGATTTAAATTGCTAACATATTCGTGACTTGATAGTTAAAGATGATCGTTTCATCAAAATTATGAATTCAAATCACACATTTTAGAACTCATGACTTAAAAAATTGTTAATAATTGAAGCATCATGTGATCATATAATAGCATATACTCAAAAAGATTTTGCATTTATAAGATGATTGTAAAATCATCATTTTGTAACAGTCACATTTACTTAATTAATTATTTAACTTTATAAAAAATTCTCCACCTTGAAATATGTAGCCATCTGAACATGCTCCTATATGAACATTCATGGCTCCAATTCAGAAGTTACCAGCCCCCAACTTAATCTTGATTAATATTTTTATGTCTATAAATATCGATAAAGGTAACTCACTAATACCAAGCAAGTTCACTCTTGAGGAGCTCAGCCAAGAGGCACGCTTGCTTGAAATGAGTGTCACCTAATGGAGCATTCATCGGAGCAAAGTCAGAGATAGGCATGCATTCACCATAATGAAGCTCAATATAGGAGCTCATCCCAGAGCTCAACTAAAGATGTGTATGTTTTGACCACTGAACTTGTCTTTGCAGGCCTTCACGAGAAGTAGTACTCACCCTATGACGACTCAACTCATCTAGGAGTTCTCCTAACTCAAGGCCATCTGTCTTACATAGATATCATTGTCCAAGCTATAAAAAGTACATTTCTACATAACTCATAATCATGGCTTCATTAATTGTGGTCATCACCATCTCACAACCACATTTGGTAAGAAGCCATGCGAGCACAAAGAATACAATATGGTAGTTGAGTATTCCTTGACCAGTCACTCAAGAGAGCTGCCAGCAAAACAAGATCAAAGCCAACATCATGGACATGAAAGGAATCCCCCGAGGACCCACGAAGTTGAACGACACCAATAAAAGTGGTAGGAATGAATTCACCCAACCAGCAAAGAACATTGATGCTAGAGAGGCCGATAAGGATCTCGATCCACACTATACACAGCTTGCAAATACAAAGATAAGGGGTACACCCTACTTATCAATACCCAACCATCACTCTTTTGCAGGTATTTATGGCCATGTTTGTGGAGGAAATACAAAATAAGAAATCCTTTAGGCACCCAGTGTTGATGAAGCAGGTGTCCATGCCATAGTGTTGATGAAACCAAGTGCCCATGCCATGGACACTACCAAATTTTGAGCATTCCACAAGGATTATTGGCAAGCATGATGGAGTGTTGACACCTCAGAAGCTTAGTGGAGTAATTAATAAATATGAAAAATCTAAAGAAATTTGTCCTGGAAGACCTATGTCGGCTAACTAAAAAGGGGCCAATAGAAGATCAATAGAACGAGTCGATTTTTGTTCATGCTTTCCATATTGTCGGGGTAGAGCCTTTCACTCTTAGTGGAGATGAAAACTAAGATGAATCATCGAGTAAAGTCTCGAGCAACCCCATTCAGGTAAGGTCAACTAGATAATATGCCCGCAACACTTGTAGCCAAGGCCTCTCTGATTAACTTCACTGAAATAGACAAGCCAACGAGTGGTTACCATTCCAAAGATGCAGTGATGGTCACTGCATTGACTACCAACTATCATAAGGGTGACATTCCTATCGATACAGGGAGTTCTATTAAAATCATTTTTGAATCTATTTTCAATAAAATAAATCTACATACTTCCATTGATCACTCTTTGTTGCCCAACCTTCACTAGCATAGGGTCATGGTTGCTCAATGGCTCCACTTGAAAATGAGTTAGAATGGTTGAGCTGACTTCCTTATGAGTAGGGCTCACCACCTCAAACAAAAGGCCAATAATGGAGATAATTGGGACATCTCCCTTCGATGCAAAAACTCGCATAGTGTGTATTTAAACTAGGGTGCCTCATTAGGTCCATGAAAGAAGTTTCCTTAGCCTTGCTCAGATCTATCTCAACTTTGTTTTTTTCTAAATAAACTGGTTAGACATCTTTCTCTCGGCCTCCGTAGCTTTATGCTTGCAAAGGGTACCTTTTGAAGTTTTTTACTATCAACCTCGCATATTTCATGGGACTCAACTCACCCAACTCTTATGCGAGCTAAAAGAATTGAGCTAAAGAAAAGGAATAAATAAGTGTGGTCTTATTACCACCCAATCGCCTCTATGTATAGACCAAAAATAATATATAGATTAAATTAACATCATTATGAGAATATTGGACAAAGGTGCACTTCTTAAGGCAATAGTAAAAGCAAGTAAACTCCATTTATTTTCTCTTAGTTATTTGATTAACAATTTAATGCTTTCATTCTTAATTCCCTCTTCTTTTTGACAAATTTCTCTCCAAAGGAGCAAGTGAATTAGGGAAATAAACTTATGTTTATATATGCCAATATAGGTAACAAGTAGGTTCATTTCTAACGAGTTAAGCCAAGAGGTGCACACGCCCAAAATAAGCGTTGCCCAGACGAGCATTTGCAAGAGCAAGGTTTGCGATAAGCAAGAATTTACCCAACGAAGCTCGCGATATAGGAGCTCGACAAAAGATGCACATGTTTCTAGAGAATTCGACTTGGAGAACTCACCTATGCAAGCTTCACATGAAGAAGCACTCACACGGAAAGGACTCGGCTCGTTTAATAGTTTTCCTAATCAATACCATCTTCCTTCCATGATATCCTAGTTCAGCCCACATTCGTGGCTTTATTTAACATGTTCGTCTCTAGGTGATGACCACACACGCCTAGAAGAATCATTGTTTACATAGAAGGACTCGCCCCATGTCCAAGGCATCCCCCTTCAAGAATTCACACAAGATGTTCATCTTGGAGGACCTGTTCAAAGCACTCACCCTTGAGGATTCATGACATGTACATGTACTCGTACTCGCTAAAGGTATTCCAAATTACGCCAGAGATAAATTGTCAAGTGTATATATTTTGGTCAAGTCTATGTGTCTATACCAATATGTAATAATTTAATAATGTCTTATTTTTCTATTTATACTAAGTTTATCCATTTCCGTAACCCTCCTAACCATATAAATAAGGAATTAAGCGACATATTTTGCATGTCACTTCATTTTTACTATTCATGATGATTATATAATTTTCTAGCCATTCCCCACACCACTTACTCTCTCTCTCTCTCTCTCTCTCTCTACCTAGCCAAACTTTAGATGTCACTCATGAACAAATTTGAATCCAACAATTCTATCACACATAATATAATAACAATTCAAAAAGTACACATGACTAGAAAATGTCATTCAAACAAATATGCTAAAATATGAAAAATCCTCCCAAGTCACTAACATGAAATCTATTTAAAATGATGTATGAACATATGAATGAACAGTTGGCTAGAAGGATGATCTTTTATAATGTTAAAATGATAGAGCATGAAAAAAGGCTCCAAAAAACTGAAATCATGATCTCATAATTATGTGATATTCATAGCCAAACCCTAAAATTGTTCAATTGGTTGCTTATAAAATAAAAATATATACTCTAAAAGCTAGTGATTTTATTTCTCATTTGGAGTGCCAAATTAAATTACTTTCTTTTGAAAATTTTTTGAAGAGATTTGTGAAGTTTGAAATCAATATTGATCTCTAACTATATTAAGCTAGATAATACATTTACCATACTTCTACTCAAATCAAAAGATAAATTTGACAAGCTTTCAAAAGGCGATTTCTTACTTCAAAGTTCATACAATCAAATGAGCCCTAATCAACAAGAGATGTAGATGTTGAACCACCACACAAGTATTAGTTAAGTACAAAAAATGACCCTTGGACAACCAGTTGAATCTACTCTTCTAAACAGATAATAAATAGAATATAGATCTGTTAGTGCCAACTAGCTCTTCTACACAGATAATGATCAGAATATAGATCTGTTAGTGCCAACTAACTTTAATTGATAAATAATTAAAAATTATCATCTAAACTTTTTTTTTTTTTGAATGGGGTATCCATTCGCTGCCACCCCCGAAAGAGCGCATGGCGGCATGACTAATCCTTGGCTGACATAAAAGAGTCACTCAACCCATAAACCTCCTATACCACACTTGATTGAGCCCCACTTAAGAAGCTCTGCCGCTCGAGGGAAATCGAGCACGGGTTAAGGGGTCCCAACTATACTCGTCCAATTGCCGAAACTTTGAATCCTTACAACATCAAATTTGTACTTTGGCACAGAGTTTTTTAAAGGAAAAAAGAATTTTCAGGACACAGATCTGACATTGAAACTTGAGGATTCAAAAGACATTGAATGTACAAGCTCAGAAAAATCAAGTAGAAAATAAAAAATGCAAGTACATTGTAAAAAATATATATAGTTAAAGCTGAAAGAAAAAGAATCAATCTGAAATTGGAGCAAGAATGAAAAAACATGATGTAGCCTTGAGGCAACATCTAATTACAGTTGAAATGAATAAAAGAACAAACTGTAAGGCATTTCTCAAAAATAGAAAGCCTCACATAATCTCTCAAAGAATGAAATAATTGGAAAGAATACAAAAACTTGAAATCCCAATATTCACGTCCTGCTTTGTTATTTACACAGGAAGAACTGAAAAAAGTTAGGTAGGTACCTACGAGAAAGATTCAGTCAAAGAATCTGCAGCTTCTGCATGTGCTCAAGAAGAGAAGTGGCCTTGCGCTTTGCCCTCTCTGTACCGGTCTTTGAAATCTCGGTTAGAGGAACAACGGCTCCCATCCTTCCTATACAAGCAAGGTTTTTAGAGTCCTTTTTACATAATGCAAGCAATATTGCAGTTGCATTCTCCTTATTGCGTGGCTGCCCAGTTCTCAGAAGATCAATAAGAAGTGGGATTGTATTAGCTCTTGAAATAGCTACCTTTCCCTCTTTGTGGCTCACAAGAACAGACAAAATGGTCAGTACTTCATCCACCATGCCACTGGTTGAGGAATCCTCAAGCATCTTAACTAAAGCTCTTACAACACCAGCTCTCACAGCTCTTGATTTGTTTCCCTGATAAATACATAAGTTGAACAGAGCAGACGCTGCATCCTTCTTACCCCTAGCGCTTCCATTGTCGAGCAATTCTACAAGTGCTTCTATAGCTCCAGGTGTCCCACCAATGGTTATTTTGTTCTCATCAATAAGCGACAGACTAAAAATAGCAGCCGAGGCATTCTCCCTCGCCTCCATGTTTCCATCTCTCAAGACATGAATAATTGGAAGAACTGCTCCGGCAAGCATTATTACTTCCTTGTTGTGCTCATAGATGGAAAGGTTAAGGAGAGATGTCACTGCATGCTCTTGTGTCTTCTTGTCATCCACCAACAAGAGGCTAACCAGCACAGGGATAGCTCCAGCTTCAGCTATCAGTTTTCTGTTATTTGTGCTCCGTTTTGCCAGTGATCTTAATTCAGCTGCAGCTGATCTCTGCTCATCTCTGGACCAGCTGGTGAGTTTAGAAACAAGATTATTAATAAAGGATCTCTCTCCAGTGATCTCAGAAAATGTACCATCGCTTCTCATACGCCCATTTGCCAGTCTATATGGCTGCTCAATCTTATTAGCCTCACACCACTGCATGATGAGACTTCTCAAGACATAGTTAGGTGTCAGCGTATGGTTCTGAAGCTTCTGCTGAGTCTTAGGACAGGTACCATTACCACAATCTATCCATCTCTGGATAAAAGAACGTTCATAAGTCTGCAAATATACCAACAGAATTAGAAAGTCAGTCTTGGGATAACAACATTTTAGTTTTAATAAGCATTTGTGGAATAAATTAGCTTAGAATATAGTGAAGATGTGAGAAAGTTGTGATTTTTGAAGACCTTTGCTCATTCTTAATAAAATAAAAACGCCAGCTTGAGTGTTTTCGGGTAATTAGGTGCTCAGAAAATACTGATCAAGTTTTTCTCGCAATTGTGTGAAACCTGAAATAATATTTTATGGCTAAAAAGGATAAGAACTACAAAATACCTGGCCTGTAGAGACAATAACGGGATCCCTCATGAGCTCAAGGGATATTGGGCAGAGGAAATCCTCGGGAATCTCCAGAGAATCACGTTGCTTATCATCTACTGTGCTCCTTTCTGAATTACTTAACCTGATTCCAGATTTCTCATTTTTAAACTGATCAACATGGCTGGTCCTCTTAAGTCTATCCATCAATTTGAGCGTCATTCTCGCAGTGTCATAATTATATTTTCCATTGACTTCTGCAAGACCAGTAACCATGTCTCGCAGCTCCCTATCAACAAAGCCAGTTGTGTTGCTATTTGTTGATTGCAATTTAAATGAACGCTGCTGTTTAAAATCTTTGACATTTGCAGAAGTCAGCATATTGTAAATTTCTTGGAAAATATGCAGATTTTCTACTCCAATCTTTTCAATCTCCCTTCTCAGTTGGGCAAGAACCAGTTCAACCTAGAGACAGAGACATTCACAAAGTCAATATTTTTCATGAATTTGCTAAAATAAAAAGAGCAACTAAACGATGGACTAATCACTTTACAGACCTCCTCCTGGACTTCATCAGATATTTTAAAATGCTCATAGGATATGTTTCCTAGGACTTTCTCCAATTGCCATGTCACATACTGGTACTGGATTGCCAACTTCTTGGTCACCGATTCCTTGATCATGAAACATTTAGGTTAATCAGCAACTTTTCATAGTGATGGTTTTGTGCATCAAATCGTGTTTTTTCCTTCTCAGTGTTAAAAATTTGGATTTTAGAGGTTTGGCAACAATGTCTCGAATCAAGCGTAAATGCACAAGCAATAAGAAATTACCCCTATTAATGGGCATACAAAGACAATACATTTGATCAACAGGAATTGATCACTGCAAGCAGATTCACACAATCAATTCAACAAACACTTGATCTACCGAATAAGTAACTCTCAATACTCACCAGATTGGAATTCTTTCCGGCACTCTTCCATCCAGAGAGCAACAGGAACTTCTTCACCGCTTGGAGTGCAAATGCCAGATCCGCCAAGCACGACCACGGAGAAGACGCCGCCGACGAGCTTGACGCAGTTTGGCCACCGCTTTGCGCAGCAAAGTCCCGAATTTCCTCAAGAAGGTGAATGAGGAGCGACACCTTGCGTGCAAGGCGGATGCTTTCTGTCGCTAAGGAGGTGCCCATGGTTGCGATCTCACCAGCAAGGCTGAGAAGTGCGTCGGCCATTGTATAAAACTGAGAAGCTGGAATTGCGAGCCAATGACGAGCTTTTCCCGGCCACAGAGACGATCTCATAGATGAAAAGAACCCGCTTTGGGCTTTTAGGACGGGAAGTTGGAGGGGGTGAGACGCGGATTTTAGCGAAGAGATGGCGAGAAGATAATTTAATGAAGAAGGAAATACAGAAGGGTTCGGAGCTGCACGATCCGATTTAAAAGCTAGCTTTTCACATCAGCTACTAGTGACAAACAGCAAACGGCAACGTAAGTCAATGGAAATTGACTGTAATGTCCGGGAATGCAAAACGCCGTGCGATGATAGGTCGGGAGGTGACATTACGTTGAAAGAACGAGACCGGCATAAATAACGTTGACTGGAAGCAATTATTAGAAAATAAAATTTAAAAATTAAAATAATATAATTTTAATTAAATTTTTTTTATTTTTTTCTATTTATTTACTTATGGAAAAAAATAAATCTGTCTTGACAAAACATATTAAATTAAAATTAAATTTTTATTAAACATTTTTACATAAATGTCATAAATTTTTTATGTTTTATATATATATAATAA